TGTGTGTGTGTGTGTGTGTGTGTGTGTGTGTGTGTGTGTGTGTGTGTGTGTGTGTGTGTGTGTGTGTGTGTGTGTGTGTGTGTGTGTGTGTGTGTGTGTGTGTGTGTGTGTGTGTGTGTGTGTGTGTGTGTGTGTGTGTGTGTGTGTGTGTGTGTGTGTGTGTGTGTGTGTGTGTGTGTGTGTGTGTGTGTGTGTGTGTGTGTGTGTGTGTGTGTGCAGGTGTGTGTGTGCAGGTGTATGCAGGTGTGTGTGTGTGTGTGTTCGTGTTTTTGTGTGTGTGTTCGTGTTTATGTGTGTGTGTGGGGGGGGGGGGGGTGCTTTTTTGCGTTTATGTGTGTCTGCATTTCTGTTTGTCCATGACTTTGTGGTCTCTGCACTGCGCTCTTGCAGTTCGGTGTTAATCTTGGGCCGTTTGGGTTCATGTGTGTGTGTGTGGGTGTGTGTGTGCGCGAGCGCGTGTATGTGTGCGTGTGTGTGGGTGGGCGTGCGCGTGAGTGTGTGTGTGTGTGCGTGAGTGTGTGTGGGTGTGGGTGTGCGCGTGAGTGTGTGTGTGTGTGCGTGCGTGAGTGTGTGTGTGTGTGTGTGCGCGCGTGAGTGTGTGTGTGTGTACGTGCGCACATGTGTGTACGTGTGTGTGTGTGTGTGTTGTTCTTGATGTTCTTGTTCTTGTTGGGTACAGACATAAACTCGAGTGGGTCAGGTTCCGGTGTGTTTCAACAGTCTCCCGCAAACAACCCAACGAACTTTACGCTTTTGACTGCGGACTACAATAGGGCCGTGAACGATGTACATAGCGGGCGTTTTTGCACCCACAAGGGATTCGCATTCACGTGCACAGTCGCAAACCTCTTCTGGGAATTTACTGGAGCCGCCAGTCAACGTTTCGCTGAGGACCAGGTGACAACGTGGCGCATTCTCAGTAAGGCTGCATTGCGTAACAGCTCTACCCATCTCCCTCCTGCCATTCACCCAATCAGGAGTCTCACATTTATGATTTTTTTTACGGCGTTGTCCTGGGTCTAAGGGCATGTTCGTCTGGTAGGATCGGGATCCCGATCCACTGGATCCACTGGATTCGCACCCTTTCGATTGGTCGAATCCGGATCCAGATCCTTCGGATTCGGATCCGGTCAACCCACCTCAGAGAGCAGGGTTGACGAGATCCAACGGATCCAAATGTGACCTTTGTGCGTATATGGCGGGCAAAAATCATTTTCGTACACATTGTGATACACATACGTGGATGGAGATAGAGCTTGCTGACTTTTTATACAACTGGCGCGGTGAGTACGACTTTTATTACTTCGTCAACATGGCAACAGTCAAGGCCCAAAAAGTGTCCAACGGATCTGAGATCTGGATCCCGATCCCGATCCCGATCCTTACCAATCGAACATGCCTAAAGGGGCCATCCTTAATTATCGATCTTTTTCACGAAGAGAAAAAGTTTCGTCCATGGGTGGGTGGGCTGAAGAGAGTTTCGTTATGAAAAATATTGATAGTCCATTCTAGCTGTCAAGCCGTCAAATATTTTTTTCCGTTCATGGGGGTGGGTGGGTGGGGTAGGATCATAACTAAACTTTTTCGTTTCGCGAAAATTATCGATAATTCTGGATGGCCCCTAAGTAGGTACGGATAGCCGTCCTCAACTTCCGAAGTCATTCCCAAACACAGTGCTGTATAACCGGGTAGTTTCTTTGTAACTGTAATTTCTCTAGCATCAGTAGAGAAACCATGCACCTAAACTTAGACAACAACTTAAAGGCGTAAAGGCCGATTCATACTTCATGTCGTGTACGTGAAAGCCATCGCGCGACCGTCGCGCGATGACTTTCCCGTACGCGAAATAGTTGAGCTCAGATCAACTTTTTCGCGGTGCGACGCGTTTCCCGTACGCGAAATGAAGTATGAATCGGCCTTGACAGTATGCACTGTATGTGAATTGTATGCTGGTCGCCTAATTCTACAGTGCACCTGAAACCTGGCAGGTCCCTGACACCGAAATTTTACTACACCGGAAATTACATCTTATACAGGATGGACGATGCCTTCTGCACTGAATTTCAGCGCCGGTCGTTCGAAGCTCATGGCAGTCGGATGCGAACCCGCTCGTGCGAGTGTTGATACAACCATTCCTGCCACGATGTCGAGATCATTTCTCGTGAGGACCGACGTGACAAGTTGCTGCTTGTGTGAATTCAACAAACTGTGCACGATTCTCAGGGTTTTTTTAAATTTTTAAACAAGACCACTTAGGGGACGACCGTGAATATCGACATTTTATCACGAAACAAAAAATTATGATGTCAGTACAAAATAGCCTAGTCTCGACCCAACCCTCTCTTCCCCCACAGAATGCAAAAACATGTTGACATGCATAATTATACAACAAAAGTCGTGCATGTGCCACTGATCTTCCATGTACATGTATCAATGTTTTCTGAAATGAAATTGGCCAACCACCTCCCCCCCCCCCCCCCGTTCCTACCCCATAACCAAAATTTTTTTGTTTCTTGAGAAAAAAAGTTCGATATCTATGGACGACCCCTTAGGGGCGCCCGGGCCGGGCCATCCGTGAATATCGACATTTTATCACGAAGAGTTTTTGAAAAGGATTTGCAGGCAAAATGGAGCAAAATATCGGTATGTCGGCTGAAAATTGGTCGAGCTTGGTGCGCAAGTGACTCATTTTCGCACGTTTTTGCCGAAACGTGACACACTTTCGGTCAGTTTTCCCACACGTGACACACTGTTCGCCTTTCATCAGATCAAAGAGGTTAGCAGAATGTGGCCTGGCATAATCAAGGTGAAATATCGACGATGAACCAGCATAATTTTGCTCCGTAATATCGAAGCTTTACTGGCAAAATCGGGCTTTGCCTAGAACTCACATTGTACTAGTTTAAATAATCCGTACTGGTATAGAGCGTATCCAATAATCATGTGTCAGTATGCAATTAACCATAATTATAGAGAAGACAAGCTGGCTTCATCGCCCACATTTGGCAAGATTTAGTGGTGGCAGACTAGACAAGTGGAATAACCTTTTCATTCGTAGCATGCTCAGAGTCGTAGCATGCTCAAACTTCCCGCCGCATGTGCTCGGTGAGCTCAGATTTCACACGGAGAATGATATGAACAAAATCTGTGTGAGGCTTGATCCCGTACTTTGACTATGTTTCCATACGTACTTTGGGACGTTTCACCGTGTGGCAGAAACTCACTGTTGACTTTGAAAAATGACTAAAACCCGCTGCCTGCCTCCTTTCTCTTCTGCACAGCTGCGTCACCAGCTGCGTTCGGTGTGCTCAGCAACTTGAAGCTGTACCCGTCCGGGCACGTGTCTCATCTCTCGTTCTATGCGGCGCTCGACGTCAACGTCAGCGTCATGGCGACCGGCATTGCATCGTCGCTCGTCAAGCTCCACCGACCGGCGGGCAGCCGGACGGGAACCGTGACGATCGTCGACGCCAAGAACGCGACCGCCAACTGGAGCCTGGCACTGCTCGTCACCGTGGTTACGAACAACGGCAGCAGCAGCAGCAGCACGGCGAACACGAGCACGCCAGCCAGCCAGCCCGTCGTCAAGGTGCACTATGTCAACGTGCAAGACTGCTCTCACTGCCAGCAGTGCCGGATCACGGCCGACCCGATTCTGGCCTACGACGACAGGTGCACCTCTTGCCCACCGGGTAAGCAGTCTGAAATCGTTTATGCTCACGGCAGCCACTGGCCAATAAGAGATAAAAGAGTGCACGAGGAGAAGTAACGAGGAAGAATTGGATGGAAAGAGGACCAAACAGGCTCTCGTCCCCAGTCTTAGAATTGGCTACTTTTAAGTGTACGGGCAGGAGTGGTCGCTACCCGGGCATACAGAGTTATGGAACAGTAGGGACAGTTGTTTGTTTGTTTTGAAAGAATTGGGGAGCAGAGACGTCGAACACGGTAGGGTCACTCCGGTACTGACCGTACCACTTTTTGCCCCAGGTATCCTGTCAATCAACGAGAGAGCTTGGAAGCTCAGGGCCCTACGCTATGCTTGTTTGCCTTGATGACCTAGACAAAAAAAAGCATAGGGATGTTATAAATTCTTTAAAAAATTCCTTTTTTTTAAGTCATAACCTGGGATTCGAACCCGCACTATCGCGCGCCCTGCGTGCATCCCCGATACACTTCGCATACATACTAATTCTTCCAAGTTGCTTCACATTGTGATCTTGCATTTGAAAGCCCTATTTGAATATGCATTGTGGCCAGCCATCTTTGATGGTACAGTACGGTATGGGATACGATCGAGGGTAATACGACACCGTCTCCCGTACCGTACCGTACCATCAAACACAGCTGGCCACATACAGCTGCCCGCAATATTCAAATAGGGCTTTCAAAAGCAAGATCATAACGTGAAGCAACTTGGAAGAATGGGTATGAATGCGAATTGTATGGGGGAATGCATGTAGGGCGATAGTGCGGGTTCAAATCCCAGGATATGCCTGAAAAAATAGGAGAATTGAAAAATTTATAACATCCCTATGCTTTTTTTGCCGTCAGATACGGGATAGCGCCAGGCGTGACACAAACAAACAAACAAACAAACACACAAATACCAAATTAAGGCTGTGTGGACCCTGGCTAGCGCCAGACGTTACTGAAGTAACGTCTTCTGCATAGCTACGGGAATAAAGTACACTGATCTGGGCTCTAAAAGGAGCGAGAGAGAGAGAGAGAAAGAGAGAGAGAGAGGGAGAGAGAGAGAGAAAGAGAGAGGGAGAGAGAGAGGGAGAGGGAGAGGGAGAGGGAGAGAGAGAAAGAGGGAGAGAGAGGGAGAGAGAGAGAGAGAGAGAGAGAGAGAGAGAGAGAGAGAGAGAGAGAGAGAGAGAGAGAGAAGAGAGAGAGAGAGGGAGAGAGGGAGAGAGGGGGAGAGAGGGAGAGAGGAAGAGAGGGAGGGAGAGAGGTAGAGAGAGCTAGAAAGGCTGTAGCAGTAACATCTAGTTGCGGCCATGGCTCCGTGGCCACAAGGTTTTTGCACCCGCATGCAACAGTGTGTACCAGCTAGTAATAGCGATGTGTATGAACTACAGCACAAACACAGAGCGTATCAGCTGAGACTCAAGCCATGCGCACCAAAACAAGGAAGCGCCAGGCATCGGCCGGGTGAAGCCCACGGAAGAACGTCCGTTTGTGGAAGACAAAATAAGGGAAAGCACATAAATAACAAGGCAAAGAAATAACGAAGTCTATCTGCTGCAATTTAGTCACGTGGGGATATAAAAGCCCACGTGTCGACGGCATGGATATGACACACATGATGACCATGATTACATGCACCAGTCATCCAGTCATCCCAAGCTACTCATAATGCAGTACAGCTAGCTAGTGAACTACGGCTGTGCGCCCTCCCTCCCGCCCCTCTCCCTCCCTTCCTCTCACCCTCCCGCGCTTCCTCCCTTCCTCTCCCTCCCTTCCTCCCTTCCTCCCTTCCTCCCTCCCTTCCTCTCTCTCTCTCTCACACTATCTCTCTCTCTATATAATATAATATCTCTCTCTCACTCACTCACTCTCTCTCTCACTCACTCTCTCTCTCTCACACTGTCTCTCTCACGCTCTCTCTCTCTCACACTCTCTCTCACACTCTCTCTATCTCTCTCTCTCACTCACTCACTCTCTCACACACTCTCTCACACTCTCTCTCTCTCTCACACTCCCTCCCTCCCTCCCTCCCTTCCTCCCTCCCTCCCTCCCTCCCTCCCTCCCTCTCTCTCTCTCTCTCTCTCTCTCTCTCTTTTCCCAGGCTACACCGGAGCGGACTGCAGTCAGGACCTGAACGAGTGTGAGGGCTTTGTCTGCGGCGAGAAGCGTACATGCACGGACGCTGTGGCACCTCGACTGGGATACCAGTGTTCGCCGTGTGCGGCCGGCTTTACCGAGGACTTCAGTACGGGACTGTGTGTGCGCGAGAACGAGTGCTTGCGCCAAGGCAACGCCGCTGTGTGCAGTGCTAATGCCATCTGCGTCGACACCCACAGTTCGTATGTGTGTTCGTGCGCATCCGGCTTCACGGCGAGCCCCAATGGACAATGTGTCGGTAAGAACTTAGAAGGGTTCTCGTTGTTATATCTTTCCACATGTAGAGGGCATGGAAAAGGGACAAGTCTGAAGAAAAAAATTGGCTTTCATCACCATGACTACCAGGGAACTTTGCTTTAGGCTAGCAATGCTCCAACCACAGATGTTGCTATATTTCTCGCTCTATGTTATCGTCTTGGAGGACACATACTGAACGTGTTGTGGATGTGCAAAGTCCTTTTGGATTCGGGCTACGTGGTGCATCCTTATGTTCTTTCCGGATGGGTTTCCGTGTAGAAACTCATTTTAGTGTGTTCGCCGGTCAAGTCTTCCTGTTTCGGTACATGTGTGTGTGTGTGGGGGGGGGGGGGGGTGCATGTGTGCGTGTGTGCGTGTGTGTGTGTGGATGTGTATGTCTGTGCATGCACAACCCGTATCCAGACGTGGATGAGTGTGCACAGGGCAATCACACGTGTGACACGCCGCACTCCGCCGTCTGCAGCAATACCGACGGGAGCTACACCTGCTCCTGCCCCTGGGGTTTCCGTGGCAACGGACTACTGAGCACCGGAGGTTGTACTGGTAAGCAACAGTTACTATAGCATTGACGCCAACCACCCATATTTGGTAGTATCTTTGCTGTACAGAATAATATAATCCTCAGAATAGAATGGTAAAGAGACATGTGATGTCACCTCCTCGGCTCTGCCAATTGTATTTGCTATAGGCCAACGATTCTCTGTCACTAGGTTTTGCCAACCCAGCAGATGCCGTTAAATTTCTTTTGGGAAATTTAGTTGTTTGGCTTGAAGATTTCACAGCACGAAAACGTGTTATACAGTCAGTCCTGTAGCTGGGAATTTTTTCTTTTTTCTTTTTTTACTAAGGCCACAGCTTCCAATCATGACATGCAAAGCAGCCGTGCAGCATCTTTGTTTGTCGAAGGTTGTAGAGTTGTTTGGTAATGACATTATGTGTGTCTGTCTGCATAAATCTGTGCATGTGTGTGGATCTGCATGTGTTTGTGTGTGTGTGTGTGTGTGTGTGTGTTTGTGTGTGTGTGTGTGTGTGTGTGTGTGTGTGTGTCTGTCTGTCTGTCTGTCTCCATGTGTATGTCTGTGTGCATATCTGTGTGTCTGGGTTTCTGTCTGTGTTCATGTTATCTGTCTGTCTGTGCATCTACAGAGGTTGACGAGTGTCAACTACAGAACCCATGCACAAACAAATCACGGTGTGTCAAGCGCTCGCAAACCCTGTACGAATGTCCTTGTCCGGACGGCGATCTGGAAGGCCAATCAGGCTACTGCGAAGGTAGGCAAAGTCTGTGCTGCACTGGTGTGGTATAGTATCAGGGGCGTCGGACACGGTGCGGTCACTACGGTATTGACCGTACCACTTTTTGCCCCAGGTACCCCGTGAATCAACAAAATATACTGATTGGGGGTCTAAATTTCCAAACAGTTTGGCTTAGGCATCCCTCCCACACGAGTAAATTGTACGTCAGATGGCTGACCGTACCACACTAAAATACCTTCCGACACCCTTGAGTATAGAGATGAGAATAGTAGATGTTGCACATGTTGGAGAAGAGACCAATGTGGCCTCCGCACAAACTACGAGAAACTCAGCAACACAACAGATCTCAATGCGCCCCTAACTGAAGAGAGTGATCATGTCGTGTGCCCATGGGAACCAACATGGCCGACATGATGTGACCTGTATATGCAGGGTTTGAGTGGACAGTTGAACCAACATGGCCACCGACATCTTGTGACCCACAAGTGCAGGTCTTGAGTGGAGTTGGAACCAACATGGCTGACATTATGTTACCCACAGATCCAGGGCTTGAGTGGAGTTGGAACCAACATGGCTGACATCATGTGACCTGTGGGGCGGGGCTGTGGGTTATGCAGTTGGAAAGTAAATTACGTCACTTTGAATTTTGTGATTGCGTTCAACACTTTGTGCTGCTTTGCTGTAGTATTGCCGGTGATCTCCTACGCGCTGCAGCGGCCCATCAGCACCGTTACCGTGGCAACCTCGGCGACGTTCACGCTACTATGCACGTATGCGGGCGCGCCGTACAGCTCCGTCTGGTGGACGCTACCTAGCGGTGCCGTCCTACACACCGCTGCCACCCAACAGCAGCAGCAGAACGGCACAACCTTCGGACGGTTCTCCATCTTCCAGCAGGTACAGCACAGAGCACTGTATGACAGGTACAGGCAACAAACTCGTGAATCATTACCTCGGGTGTGACATAAACTCGTGAATCATTACCTCGGGTGTGACATAAACTCGTGAATCATTACCTCGGGTGTGACATAAACTCGTAAATCGTTACCCCGGGTGTGACATAAACTCGTGAATCATTACCTCGGGTGTGACATAAACTCGCGAATAACGACACGACCTTCAGACACAGTGACCAGTGGACTGCAAACGTTCAACATCACAAGCTAGGGCTCCCTGTAAGAAGGCAATAGCCTGTTTGGATTACGCAAAAACTTTCTATGGGGTGTGCCGATGGCGAAAACTCACATCACGTGTCTCAGATACGTTCGTACTACGTCCAACTAAGGATAGTGTGCGCGCAATCTGAATATCTGCCTTGATCATGCTGGGGATTTGCATACCCGCAGTGAGTTTCTGACAGAGAGTGCTTTTTTTATTACTCCGCTGCTCGCTAAAAACGGGCTGGAAACGTATAACTGCGACAGTACACCACGTTTTAGGAAATTAGAGGCCACATGCCACGTACTGCTCTTTTCTCTCCGAAACTCAACACTTGCAAGCCAGATATGAAAGAAAGAAAAAAAAATATATATCTGGCTTGCAAGTGTTGAGTTTCGGAGAGAAAAGAGCAGTACGTGGCATGTGGCCTCTAATTTCCTAAAACTTTGAAATTCTCCGTGAAGTCCAAATTCGAAAGTACACCACGTGATGTGAGTTTTCGCCGTCGGCGTACCCCATCGAAAGGGTATCAGGAGTCGCACACTCTTAGGGTCTTATAATTATACCTCTTGGTAGCGCGGGTAGAGCTGTCACTGAAATAATAAGAACCCCGCAGGTCTTATTAGAGAAAATGTTATGTTACCTTTATTTTACTTCACCATTGGTACAAGCATTGCTGCATTCCTGCTGTGGATCATAAATGATGCCACAGCTCCTAGGCTATGATGATACGGGAGGCTCAGTCTGCTTTCTTTCTCCTGTGTTTTTGTGATCATGACAGCACCAGGGCGTATCTGGTTCAAGCACACTGACGGTGACGGGGATGACCGGGGGAGACCAGGGCGTGTATACGTGCAGTGTGAACAACACCAAGGGAACGGCGATGAACCGAACCTACAGTGCATCAATGACGAAGAACACTGTCCCCAGTACGTAGTTGTTGTTGTTGTGTGTGTGTGTGTGTGTGTGTGTTGTGTGTGTGTGTATACGTGTGTATGTGTGTGTGTATGTGTGTGTGTGTGTGTCTGCAAGTTGCTATGGCTTCTGCCGTAGCATTGCTATCATCGCCTCCGGCGATGGGCGTCAAAGGTCAAAGGTGTGTGTGTGTGCGCGCGTGTACATGTGTGTGTGTACGTGTGTGTAAGTGTGTGTGTGTGTGTGTGTGTGTGTGTGTGTGTGTGTGTGTGCGTGCGTGCGTGTGCGTGCGTGCGTGCATGCGAGGGTGCCCGCGCTCGTGTATGGGAGTGTGTGTGTGTGTGTGTGTGTGTGTGTGTGTTTGTGTATACGTAAAACCATGTGCTTGCAAGTGTAGACTTCTGTGCACCCACACATGTAGCAAACGGCGGAGGAGAACGGCTGTGAAGCTCTAATCACAAGTGTTATCAAGAGTACATAACCAAGAGTGTGCAGCCAGACGATCCCCAGCCTATGGCGGAATTTTGTTATGACATCAGTCCTCGAGACTCCTTGCCAGCTGGTTGGTTCACTGATGCCACGACGCGTAGCCAGAGATCAAAGTGCACAGAATTTGTACTTCGCAGCTACGGCAGTCGAAGCAGAACGGCGGATTAGAGATCGACGTGTCCTGAACCTGATGAACTCTCACCGTATCTACAAACAAGCGTAGGAAAGCATACGCACTTGGTCATACTTCTGCCAAAGAATGACGCAATACAAAAATCCCGCCGTGGGTGAACCCATCACACCTCGAGGATAGACGTTGCACACTCTCGATTACCGTACTGGCAATATATGTTACCGCGTAACGCGTAACGCAGGGGGGTGCGGCGTAACGCGCGACCAGGCTAGTGCGACAAATTTTCGTTGCGTTCGTAACGCGCGTCCGGCGGGGTGCGGCGATATCTTTTCATTGCAGTTTGCAAAAAATGATGCGGCAATAGCAAAAAATGATGCGGCAATAGCAAAAAAGTGATGCGGCAATAGCAAAAAAAGGACTGCGGCAATATAGAAACCTGTGTAACGGCTCCTGTGCGACTTTGCATGTAACGCCCTGCGTGCGGCAAACATGTGCCAATGTAACGCTTCATGGCCTCACAGCGGCAACATATATTGCCAGTACGGTACTGTGGAACGGCCAATTGTAGTGGGTACAGGTGTTAGCGTTTTCTCAGTCTGGACCAAATCACAGTGAAAATTTCGATTTGCGCCGCAAAGCTATAGCGAAAACACTCCTTTCGCTGGAGTCGCTAAAATATCGCCGTCCCTAAAATTAACCGTTTTACAGTAAGTATGTTGGGAACTCAGATGGTGAGCTAAGGAAGGTAATTGTAACATGGAAAAAACGTGCCTCAGTACTCCTCGTCAGTTTTGTGCTAGATTGTGTACATCTGACTGTTGAAAATCTGGTTTAGTTGGTGGACTCGACCGCATAACTTGTGCCCGCGTTTTCCCAGGTTTTTAAACAATTTTTTGCAGTATGTACTCTTGATTTCAAGCTTCTCAGCGATCACCGGACAGCGGCATTTTAGTTCTGCCTGTAGTGTATGTGTGCATGTGTGCAAGATAACAGGTGCTCATGGACGCAATGGTCCACCTGCCACGACTCAATCCTCCCCTCCCCCCTCGCATAATTGCTCTTCCTTCCTTCTTTTTTCATAATCGTTTCTGTCCCTTATCGGTCTGGATCTGATTCTCTCCCTATTAAAGATGCACACGTGCACACACACACACACACACACACACACACACACACACACGTACACACATACACACGCACACACACAAACACACACAAACACACACAAACACACACACAGAAACACACACACACACAAACACACACGCACGCGCGCACACACACACACACACACACACACACACAAACGCACGCATGCGCACGCGCACACACACACACACGCTCACCCATGTTCTCCATATTCAACTCTTTTGTTTCAGAGCCCAACAATGCTTCCGGTACCGCCAATCTGGCCTATATAGCGTCTGGAGCTGGCTTTGGTGCATTGGTCATCGTGGCTACTGCACTGTTCATCCTCAGAAGGAAGTCCGTCGGTTCAGGTGTGTGTGTGTGTGTGTGTGCGTGTGTGTGTGTGTGTGTGTGTGTGTGTGTGTGCGTGCGTGGGTGCGTGTGTGTGTGTGTGCACGTACATGTGTGTGCATTTGTATGAGTTTGTGTGTGTGTGTGTGCGTGCATGGGTGTGTATTATATTCGGGAACACACAAAGCTTCTCCTTCGAGAACGTCAAGAATACATCCATAATTCAGAGCATGCATCCTTGATGTCGTTCTCTTCTATTTGCAAAGCGCAGCACATATTTTCTTTTGTGCCTACTTCTTTGGGAAAACGAAAATTTCGTGACTTCAATCAACCGGTCAGTTCTTGTGAGGGAGCCCTGAGGAATCGAGTGATATAGATACCAAGAGAGACGCGTTGTGCGTACCCGAATATCATACCTGCTATCCTTTTCTCTCCAGTCTGGGTGTTCCTGCCAGGGTTATAGGAAAGTCTTTCAAAGTGCTCTGCCTCGCATGTGTTTTGCTTGTCTGTCTGTCTGTCTGTCTGTCTGTCTGTCTGTCTGTCCGTAGACCCATTCAAGGCATCCATCCATCCACCCATCCATCCATCCATCCACGAATCCACCCACCCACTCATCCATCCACTCATCTAATCCATCCGTCCGTCCATCCATCCATCCATCCATCCATCAATCCATCCATGAATCCATCCACTCACCCATCCATCCATCCATCCGCCTGTCTGTCCATCCATCCATCCATACATCCATTCATCCATCAATCCATGAATCTATCCATCCATTCATCCATCCATCCATTCATCCATCAATCCATTCATCCATTCATCCATCAATCCATTCATCCATCAATCCATGAATCCATCCAACCATGCAACCATGCATCCATCCACTCATCCATCCATTCATCCATCAATCCATGAATCCATCCAACCATGCATCCATGCATCCATCCACTCATTGATGCATCCAAGCAATACTCACAGCAATGGCACGACCAAGTCCTTTTCTGCCGTTACTCAAACGAGTTTCGTGTTAAAAAGCACTCGTCGGGCATCATGATAGCATGACTTGTTTGTGCCAGTGTTGTGTGAGTACTTTATCACTAGCTTGGTGTGCTGGGCATGAAGCCTTCCGCATTTCCCCGAATACAAGTTACACTTTTTTAAAGTTTTTACACAAAACATCAAGGGTGAGAAAGGGGATGCGACTTACAATCGAGCATGACTTACTACTGAAGTGATCATGTCGAAACAGTATTGCTGAAACCTGAAAATGGGGGTGCGACTTATAATCGAGTGCAACTTATAATCAGGGAAATACGGTACCTGCCAAACATCCCGATCTGGCCAGGACCGTCCCGATAACGAGGGTGGTAGTAGGCACCCAAAAGTGCATTAGTCGCACGCCTCTCACAGCTACATTTGTATACATTTTCATACCTAGGTATGTCATTGTGCCGATCTCAGGTTTTCAAAGGTTGGCAGGTATGGTAAAGCGCTATACGCAGACTGGAGATTTTGGACAACCATGCATCTGTTAGATCTCGTCTCGCACAGGCACAAGAGAAGTCGGCGTGAGGAGGGTCTTGTTCCCAAGCTTACTCGAAGGACTCGAGATGTTGAGAGAGAGAGAGAGAGAGAGAGAGAGAGAGAGAGAGAGAGAGAGAGAGAGAGAGAGAGAGAGAGAGAGAGAGTGAACAAGTTTAAAGCACGAGGTTATGAAGGGCCTGGGTAGCTATGGCGATGGATGAACGAGAATGCGGATGTAGAGCTACCCAGGCCAAATGAATAATACGGGAATGCGGGAAAGTGCGGGGAGAGTGCTGGAGCAAGAAGTTGTAGAGTACTCGAGTGTCGAGAAGCGGGACGGGGTGCATGCGGTATTTTGTGTACGAGTGCGTGTATACAGTCAACCTTGAGTATACTAGTAACGACACTCGGCCGGGCATCAGAAAACAGTCCTTGTTCTCTGGGCATGGAAATTCTGTTGTTATTCGCGAATTGTCGTTCTATCCGTAGTCGTTATCAGCCAAGTTGACTGTACATGCATTATTATGGGAGAGATGTCATCAGTGTAGGAGTGCGGGCGTACCGTAAAGTCTTGTTTAAAAGCTGCGGCTTCTATGACTTTCTTGGTGACATTTTGCAGGCTTCTATATGAGACAGGCTTCTATGCAATACAGGTATTTCTATGTATGTCAACACTAACACCAGGTGTATGTGTGATTTGATGGGCCGAAAATTTGATACTTCTATTCGAGGGCGGTTTCTATTCAAGTGCGGCTTTTATACAAAACTTTACGGTACGTGGAATCGCGATCCTAACACATCTATGAATCTATTTCCTGTGCCTGTCCACAGGTCGAGCACGGAGGAGCAGCAGGCCTACCAAGATGAGCAGCGGCAGCAAAACCGTCTCATCCTCGCAGAGCTCAACGTCCACGGGCTCGGCCTGCTACAAGCCCGTCTCGACCAAGGAGAGCCCGAAGTTTGCCTCGCCGCTGACCAACGCCTGCTCGCCGCGGAGCCTGTGCCAGCAGGAGCTGATCTATCAGGACGCCGTGGACATGAACACCACAGTGGCCGCCGTGGAGTGTCCGCCGCTAGAGCCGCACAAGTCCCGCACGTTGTCCGTGCGCACCACGCTGGGCTTTGACGATCCAAAGTGCGCGTCCGCGCTTCAGCTCGAGACCCTAATCAACAAAGGCGACCGCGAAGGCGAGGACGAGGACATCTACGATGAGATGCGCGAGGCGAGCGACTTCGACCAGAACCTTCTCGACGCGACATGGTCTGATGCCAAGCGTCCCAGCACTGCCTCGTCAACCGGCTATGTCATAGACTCGTTTGCCAACTGCCCCACGCGATGCCTGGGCACCACGAGCAACACCTCGATCAACTACTACTCGTACGGTGAGGTCAACGAGTCCACCGTTGCCCTGACACAGGCCAGTACCGGCTGCTATGACAACCTACAGTCCCTGGTCGCGGTGCCGTCGTCATCCGCCCAAGGCAAGACCCCGACGGCGCTAGAGGAGGAGACGTACTCTGATCCGCGCCCGACCAGCTCGCCTAGCAGTCCCGCTGCCTCCGCCACTAACTGCCTCAAAAACCGTATTGGCAGTCTACGCGACATGATACCCTCGGTGCCCGGCAGTCCCAACAAGCGCTCGAAGAAGAGGGCGGGATTGCCGGCGAGTTCCTCCGCCATGCCCGGCTACCAGAACTCCAGCATCCTGGGCAATCCCTGGCAGGCCCTGAGCCTTGCCAACTTCAACAATGCCGGCACGAGCAACTGCAACAGCCTCGGCAACATCGACACCTACTTCAACGACAGTGCCAGCACGCAGTTGCCGTCGACGACCAAGACTCTGGTGGTGGCCAGTGCTAGCATTGGTCAGCAGCAGCAGCAGAACCGCGCCCCTCCGCCTCTACCGTGCGCCGACTCGCTAGCAGCGGTCTCCTCCGGCGCGCGTCTACTCGGCGCAGCGGCAACACCAGCCTCGGCGAGCTCGCACACAGAGCTAGGGCAACTCCAGCAGTCCCAGCACTTCGCCACCTCCAGTACACAATGCAACGAGCCACACGACCCCCGTCAGCAACAGCAACAACAGCAGCAGCAGCAGTCCGTGACGCTAGCGCAAGACGATATCTACGCGGCGGCTTCGCCCTCGGAGATTCCCGTTGCCGACGCCGACGCCCGCAGCTTTTTCCGTCGCGACTCCAAGCGCAAGTCGCGCAAGAGCGTCAAGGGCATTGCACCTCCGCCTCAGCCCGGAGCCGAGGAGGAGAGCAAAGCAGCGGCCACGGCCGCCCCAGTGCCGAAGCCGCGCACGCGCTTCATGAGCTTGAAGAAGAAGAAGAGCAAGAGCAAGAACAAGGAGCAGGTGGTGCCGGCCACAGAGCCTGAACCACTGGCCAAGCAAAGCAGCACGGACACCGCGATGCTGCAGCCCCGCTCCTCGATGCGCTTCAACGGCTACAGCCAGAGCGCGAAGCTGAAGGACAAGGCACCGCAGCTGACGCACTCGGGGTCGAGCATCGAGGACCCACTCGACGAGGACACGTACGAGTGTGCCCGACACAATTCCGTATTCTCGCGGGTCTCCAACCAGCAGGACATCTACAACCAGATGTCGCCGATGCCGAGCATCACTTCGGAGAAGAAGTACTGCAACGCCCAGCACCTGGAGCAGGCGGAACCGTCGCAGGACACACTCAACGAAGCTTGCGAGTACGTCGGTCCCAGCATGCTTACTGGTTACCGTGGTGTTACCGGTGGCAACCGCCACTTACTGAACAGGTCGAGCTGTTGCTACGGTAACGGTCCCGAGAAAATCGGCGCGATGACCGGCGACAACTGCGACGGTGGTGGCTACGGCAACCTTCCTAACAGCGTTTTCTCTGCGGCTAGCGATTGCTATGACAACGGCAACCAGGTGGTCGCCCTGGGGCTGGGGGGTTCCGACTCCGACTACGGCCTGACCTACGGACTAGGGGTGCAGCAAGATGGCGCGGCAGATCCACTTCAAGGAGATCAGTTGGCGGCGTTGGCGGGGCGGAGACTGAGCCTCACCGGGGATGAGGACGTGTACATGGCCGCCAACAACCGACGCGGCTCGGACGGCATGTACAGCGTGCTGGGCTCGACGGGAGTGTCGCCGCGTATGTCCCTCCACCGAGGCGTGGACAAACGCGACAGTGTCGGCGGGTACACCCCGAACGGCGTCGTCCTCGCCGAATCCGACTATATGGCTAGCAGTGGTGTCGTCGTCGGAGTGGCGGAATGCAACTACGGAGACATTCCGCACGAATCAGACAGCATTGCCACCGGCGGTATTGACGTGGCGGAATGCAACTACGGAGAGGTTGCCACCGAATGTGACTACGTTGTCAGTGGTGGTATGGCTGTGGTCGAATCCAACTACGGTGTGTGCCAGCCGCCACGCAACGCAGCTGATAGCGAAGACGACGATGGAGGAAACTACTCCTCCCAATACGGCGTGAATTCCACGGGCATTGCCCCAGTGTATGACATGACGACCACTGATGTCGTTCCAATGTACGGTGTACCTGTTACTGCTAACGCTCCAGTGCATGGCGTGACACCCACAGCTAACACCCCTGTCTATGGTGTGACAAGCACAACTAACACTCCAGTCCATGGTATGAATCCCACAGCTACCAACCCAGTCTATGGCGCGCCAGCCACGGGTGACATCCCGATCATGTCCAAGGAGTCGGAGAAGGTCATAGAGCCTGCCTACCGACTGCTGCCGGCCATTCCAACCGTTTCCATGGCAACGAATGACACCGGGATCGCGGCCGATGTCGTCGCCGCCAACGATGACCTGTACCAGGCGACGCCTGAGGCGTGCAGCGAGGCGTTTGGCGTGGACGTGCACGGCGAGTCTAGATACATGACTGCACCGACAGCTTCCGAGAGTGCGTCTGTTGTCGCCGAGGACCCGTACAGTGACTTGGCGTCGGTGGTCGCGCAGGTCAAGATGTCACGGATGTCGCTGGTCTCCATGGCTGGCAGTCCGCTCGTGCCGATCCACGGTGCGAAGCCAGCACTGCCTCCCGTTGTGAAGCCAGCAGTGCCACTGCCTAATGCGAAACCAGCTCTGCCTCCCGTTGTTAAATCAGCGGTTCCACTCCCTGGTGCGAAACCAGCACTCCCTGCTGTGGTGAAGCCAGCAGTTCCACTCCCTGGTGTCACTAAACCAGTGCTGCCTCCTGTCATGAAACCAGCGCTGCCGGCTGTCGAGGATGATGCCTATAGCGACTTGGCGTCCGTTGTGGCAGAGGTGAAGCAGTCAATGGCTGCGGAAAGCAGTCCGTACGAGCTGGGCAGAGGCGGTGGTGGAGGTGGTGCCAGTCCTCCTCAGCCTCTCCAGCTGCGCCAGCACCCGGAGGAGGTGTACGAGGACTCAGGCTCTCAACCGCCCCTGATGCATCAACAGGAGAAGGGAATATACCAGGAGACTGGCGGCAGTATGGCCGATGCTCAGCCGCTCCTGATGCACCAGCAGGCTGAAGGGATATACCAGGAGACAGCCGGTAGCATGGCTGATGCTCAGCCGCTCCTAATGCATCAGCAGGCTGAAGGGATTTACCAGGAGACCGGCGATGTCTGCACTGAGATGGGCAACGCCGCTGACTCCGATTCTGAGCCGCAGTACGCAAGCAGCTAAGCTGCCGAGCGTGTGGTGCAAACTCCATGCTCCGCGCCCTGTTGTTTGAAGTTGTCACCAGTGCGTTTGCTCACTGTGCCCACTCTTCGTCTGCTCTCTCCCTCTCTCTCTCTCTCTGTCTCTCTCTGTCTCTCTCTCTCTCTCTCTCTCTCTCTCTCTCTCTCTCTCTCTCTCTCTCTTTCTCCCGTTGTGAAGCCAGCAGTGCCACTGCCTAATGCGAAACCAGCTCTGCCTCCCGTTGTTAAATCAGCGGTTCCACTCCCTGGTGCGAAACCAGCACTCCCTGCTGTGGTGAAGCCAGCAGTTCCACTCCCTGGTGTCACTAAACCAGTGCTGCCTCCTGTCATGAAACCAGCGCTGCCGGCTGTCGAGGATGATGCCTATAGCGACTTGGCGTCCGTTGTGGCAGAGGTGAAGCAGTCAATGGCCGCGGAAAGCAGTCCGTACGAGCTGGGCAGAGGCGGTGGTGGAGGTGGTGCCAGTCCTCCTCAGCCTCTCCAGCTGCGCCAGCACCCGGAGGAGGTGTACGAGGACTCAGGCTCTCAACCGCCCCTGATGCATCAACAGGAGGAGGGAATATACCAGGAGACTGGGGGCAGTATGGCCGATGCTCAGCCGCTCCTGATGCACCAGCAGGCTGAAGGGATATACCAGGAGACAGCCGGTAGCATGGCTGATGCTCAGCCGCTCCTAATGCATCAGCAGGCTGAAGGGATTTACCAGGAGACCGGCGATGTCTGCACTGAGATGGGCAACGCCGCTGACTCCGATTCTGAGCCGCAGTACGCAAGCAGCTAAGCTGCCGAGCGTGTGGTGCAAACTCCATGCTCCGCGCCCTGTTGTTTGAAGTTGTCACCAGTGCGTTTGCTCACTGTGCCCACTCTTCGTCTGCTCTCTCCCTCTCTCTCTCTCTCTCTCTCTCTCTCTCTCTCTCTCTCTCTCTCTCTCTCTCTCTCTCTCTCTCTCTCTCTCTCTCTCTCTCTCTCTCTCTCTCTCTCTCTCTCTCTCTCTCTCTCTCTCTCTCTCTTTCTTTCTCTCTCTTTTTCTTTCTCTCTTTCTGTCTCTCTGTCTCTCTGTCTCTCTGTCTCTGTCTCTCTCTCTGTATCTCTCTCTCTCTCTCTCTCTCTCTCTCTCTCTCTCTCTCTCTCTCTCTCTCTCTCTCTCTCTCTCTCTCTCTCTCTCTCTCTCTCTCTCTCTCTCTCTCTCTCTCTCTCTCTCTCTCTCTCTCTCTCTCTCTCTCTCTCTCTCTCTCTTCTCTCTCTCTCTCTCTCTCTCTCTCTCTCTCTCCTCTCTCTCTCTCTCTCTCTCTCTCTCTCTCTCTCTCTCTCTCTCTCTCTCTCTCTCTCTCTCTCTCTCTCTCTCTCTCTCTCTCTCTCTCTCTCTCTCTCTCTCTCTCTCTCTCTCTCTCTCCTCTCTCTCTTCTCTCTCTATCTCTCTCTCTCTCTCTCTCTCTCTCTCTCTCTCTCTCTCTCTCTCTCTCTCTCTCTCTCTCTCTCTCTCTCTCTCTCTCTCTCTCTCTCTTTCTTTCTTTCTCTCTCTCTCTCTCTCTCTCTCTCTCTCTCTCTCTCTCTCTCTCTCTCTCTCGCTATTTTCTTTTTTCGATCTCTTTTGCCCCGATAGACCGTCCATCTTGCTCGTGAATTCACATAATTATATCCACCACTCGTCACATGACTCTATATATTGCCATGTGACCTGGCTGTCCTCTGGTCGTGCGACCCAGTCTAGTTCATGCGATTCGGTCTCTGGTCATATGCACTCAACGAGCTATATGACCTTGTGTGCATACATGCATTTCTTTGGCTGAACAGCTGCCGGTGTGGGTGCAAGTGTCGTTTATAAACCACCTTTATTCTACTAAAAATTTCATCTGGTATTTTTTCTCGGCAAGCTACAGAGCTTGTAATCAACTCCGAGCCTGGTATTGATTGGCATGTGCTGCAGCGCCGCCTGATTGTAATTAATTAATTTAGTGTCTCTTCGCTGCCGACCGTACGTACAATCGTACATGATGCTGCACTTCGCATACCGTATCCAGCTGTTTGCCGAGGCCTGCGAGTCTGCTGCGCTCGGTAGCCACGCTAGATCTACACTATCGCGCTATTAAAGTGTGTCCCATCGTTCGTGTCTGTCCCAGGCTCACTTTAAAACTTCGACCCCTTTCGTTCCATTCGCCTCGGGTTTCCGGCGACATGCGGCTTTCTCTTTCAATTCTCTGCCACTGTTACGGCAGCTAGCCAAGCAATGCATAGTAATGTCCTTACGCAGCAGCAGGAGCAGCAGCAGCCATTTTCATCGATGACCTCAGCTATTAATAACCTGATGAGTTAGCGATAACGTTATTCCCTCAGTTTATTTCCCGTATAAATTCTGGGGCCTTGCCCTCGCCCCCGATGTTTACCCAATTTTTAATTTTTTTAAGATTTGCAGATCTGGACCTTGACCCTGCCAGCAAGTCATAATGTTTACCCTGTTTTTAAATAGATTCACTTGTCTTGCGGAACGTTAATCCTACACGAACCTAGTGGTGGCTTGATCTCACATTGTGTAGCTCCCTGGGAGTAGTTATATACACACTCTACCGGTATCTTACTACTCCGTGCTGCCTGGCATGTTTTCACCAGGGAGTAGGCATTTCACCACTCCCTGGTTTTCACACACTGCCCCGACATCTAGGAGTCTCTGGTACTCTCTGCATGCTTTGCGAACTCCCCGATATGGGAATTTCCCCTGCTTGACGTGGGCTGAGGTCCCGCCTAGCGCCTGGCATCATTCATCTACGCCCAGATTGCTGCAGGGGCATGTAGCAGCCGGTCCGGCGGTTCCGGCTTTGGCCCGATCACTTTTTCGCCCGACCACGAAAAAAGTGAACAGAATGCAGAATGTTGCACCCCAATTTCAAAAGTTTCCCGCAGGACCCCCCCCCCCCTCTCCTGCCAGACCACCTCCAACGGCAGTGCTACGTGCCTGTTGGGACTGTACTGGGTTCTTTGCTGAGTGCAGCGCACCGTCTTCTATAGAAAGAAGACAAGCAGCAGCAGCAACAAAGACGACGACGACGACGACAAGAACAACAATATCAAGAAGAAAAAGGACATCATGGAGAGACACTTAAGACATGTACATGACTGTATGTATATAGTGGTCACGCCTGAGTAGGCGCAATCAGCACTCAGTAATTAGAACTTGCAACCAATCAGCACTCAGTAATCAGAACATGCAACCAATCAGAACTCACGCTGATGGTTAAGGGAAGGATTGTTGTCATTTTCTTTTTGAGGCATCATGGATTAACATCTGTGTGAAGGAGTCCCCGCGGGCTCGGCGATGCGAGATATCTGACAGGAATCCTGCAACCACGCGGATGAGAGCGTGATATTTGATAGATCATGGTGCCAAGAGTAGGCATTGGCGGATAAAAGGCGGCAGATACTGCTCGAAAAGCCTACACATTACTGCATGTTTTCTCTGTGTGTTCTTCACTGCATGCTTACACATACACCCACCCATTTGAATTATAATACAAACTTTGTGCTTTGGAATTATCATGTTATAATTCTTTTTAATAATTATTTCCTTCTCTCATAATATTATATTCGTTCTTAGCAGGAACCGGAGGTTTTTCCTCTGGTGAGAAGGCAGAATTGCCTGTGCTCTAAACGAATTCAAATTAAAGAAACAAACAAACAAAAGCAGTGAAATTGGCAGAACCATGCAAACCTTATGGCGGGCAATTCCTCGAATTCTGCTCCATTTCTTCATCCACATACCAAACATGCATGAAACGTACCAGAAAAAGTACTGAATTCTGCCAATTTTCCTGCCGGCATTATCCACATATGCCTAACCAAGAGTCCATAACCCCAAGGGTTATGAACTCTTGGTGGTGCCGGTGATCTCTTAGCTCAGGTGAGTGCTGCTCTAACTGTACGACGATGCACTCGGCATTGTCATTAGGTGCTTCCCCCCTCTGAGTCTGAGGCTCTTACCGTTCCGTGTAGTGCATTTTGTCCCTGGGCCTGGGTTTCTGGTCGAAAGGACCCCAATGGCAGCCAGTACATAATTATGACTGTACGTACTCGTACCATCCATAAAGAACGAAACTGCTCTCACGGTTCGCTAAAAATATGAACGGGCTAGGCTAGAACCAAGAGTACAGAACCCCCGGGGGATTATGTACTCTTGCTAGAAGAACCCTGACCCCTGACTTCTGACCCCTCCGTTCGTCGGTGCCTGGCAGTGAAGAACACACAGAGAAAACATGCAGTTTTAGGGTTTTACGTCGGGCCCTAGACGACGGCTACTTTGGCCAACCGGACAACGAAGAAGTTGTGACCAAAGAGAATGATTTTATTTCTTGCGCATGCGTTTGTAGAATGACGTAATTGAGTGTGAGTCAGGTCGCTACACAGTAATAGAGAGGTTTTGCATTCCGAATTTCGGAATTATTTTCGGAATGTGGCGGCAGCAGTCGAAAAAGTAGTCGAACTTTCGGAAGTGTGGTGGCGAAAGTGCACGGTTTTCCGAAAATGGATTTTCGGCTCTTTCCTGTTTGGGAGTGCATATTTGAATACAAAAAGTGTATTTTTATGTTTGTATTAGTTTTGCTTTCTGCTGCTCTCGATTATTTGAATTTTTTCCACGTACATGTATGTAGTTTTGATTTTTCCTGGTTTTTGCTGGTCTCGCTGATCTCGCCATGTTGACTAATCTTCTCACACTCCATCACACTCTATCTTCCTTTGCCATGGTGCCTACTGACAGTACAAGACAGTAGCTCGCCAACCTCGTCTTCAGCTCAGTGTTGGATCACTTGGTCCACCATCAGTCCGTCCTTGTCTTCAAACTGCAGCTTGACCTGCGCACATGGATTTGATCCTGCTAAACCCCTTCGACGCTCTCCATTTTGTTTTGCATGGCAACCCTTGGAAACGAATTCGAATCAGATTTTCGGAATGCAAAACACTGAAAATGCCGTTTTTCGGCACGCGCTTTTTTCGGAAAAGCACAGTCGAAAATCATTCCGAAATTCGGAATGCAAAACCTCTCTAATAAGCGAATCGAATTTCGTAACCGAAAGAAGACAAGCAGCAGCAGCAACAAAGACGACGACGACGACGACGACGACAACAACAACAATATCAAGAAGAAAAAGGACA